GGCGGGGAGTGCGACAGGGGCCTGGGTGACCGTGCGTGCGCTCCGCAGCCCGACGCCGAGGGCGCCTTCCGCCGCGGCCCGGGACTGAACCTGACCAGCGGCCAGTACACGGCGCCCGTCGCCGGCTTCTACGCGCTCACCGCCACGCTGCACGTCGGTGAGGCGCGGCTCTGCTCGGGGGGCGCGGGGTGGGAGGGGCCGCCCGTGCGCCCTCGGCTCCGCCCACCACCGCCCACCACCGACCGTGACCACCCTCCCCTCCCCAAACCCCTCCCGCAGCGCTGGCGGAGACGCCAAGGCGAGGGCCGCCGCGACCCCGGGACCGCCTGCGCCTGCTCATCTGCATCCAGTCCCGGTGCCAGCGCAACGCGTGAGTGGGCGCGGGGGCCGCGAGCAGCTCGGGGCCGTCACGCTGTTCAACAGGCACCAGACCCGGCTCCTCTCTGCAGCCCCACCCCCACCGCCAGCCTTCGCGCGGGTCCTGCAGTCCCAGTCGCACTGTGGCCTGGGGGACCTGACGCCTCCTTTCTGCTCTCCCGCCTCCCCTCCCCTGTGAACTTGATCCCGACCGCACACGACCATGTCCATCTGTCCATCTTCCGGGAGCACCAGGCCGTGGAGGGCGGGGCTGAACCCTGTCCGCCGCCCTCTGGCGTGTCTCCAGCACCACAGCAGACCCAGGTGCTGGCAGGGGCTGCAGTGGAAGCATGAACGGATGAAGGTCGAAACCTCCGGTTCTGCAAGTCCTCCAAGGACTGGCCTGAGCCGGCTTTTCAGCCACCCTCACCTCCCACTGCGCCAGCCACTGGTTTTCCGGGAGCTGCTCCTGACCTGGGCCTGTTCGCCCTTTCTGGCATCCACAGCACACCTTTCGCCCTGGGGGGGGGCTGTCCTCACTCCTCCTGGCAACCCAGTTCAGATGCCACCCCGGCCAGACCAAGGCAGCTGTCCCCACCGCACATTGCTGGGCCCCATGTCAGCTGTGAGCGCATTGTGAAGTTGGTGGGCTCTGGGGTGGGGGGCACTGGCTGACCCTCTTTCTGCATTGGCCACAGCTCCCTGGAGGCTGTCACGGGCCTAGAGAGCAGCAGCGAGCTCTTCACCATCTCAGTGAATGGCGTCCTGTATCTGCAGGTGTGGGGCCGGGGGAGCTGGTGGGTAGTCGGGTGCAGGGGGGTGCTGGTGGGTGGTCGGGAGCTCTGGGGGGCAGCACGCTGACTCCAGGCCTGGGAGAGATTCAGGGCAGGGCTACAGCGCTCAGACTAGTCCGGGCCCCCTTCCCCCACAGACCCGGCTGTAGGGCCACTGGTCCTGCCCCCGGTGAGCCATCCACAGGGACCTGGTGGTACGAGAGAACAAGTCAGCTCCACAGCCCAGGCTGACCTCGCGCGACCCTGGCCCATGGCCACTGTGGGAAGCAGGACGTGTAATTTCCTGCACAAAACCCCCAGTGACAGTCTCTCTCGCACTGTGGGGATTTGGGCAAGTAGCTGAGGAATCGACGTCGAGGGGGGACTCGCTATGAAAGGCAAGATGCAAGTGCCGATGCGTGGACAGGGGCTCTGGTTCCGACAGCGCCACGCTAGGCCCTGCTCCATGCTGCTCACTTAATGCTCGGTGTGCTGCAGTGAGCACTACTGTTACTCCCGCTTACAAACGGGGGACTAAGGCGCAGAAAGGTTAAGTAACTCGCCCAAGCTCACACAGTAGTCAGGATTGGAGGCCAGGCTGTCTGGCTCGTCGGCTGTAGTTGCTGAAAGGCATTCAGAGATCCGGTCCCAGGCACCGCACAGCCTGCTGGGAGAAGTCGAAGGGCACACGGTGCCCCGGGGGTTCTGAAATGAAGGTCAGGTGCGTCCCCAGAGGCTGCAGCTCTGGGAGTCCCCAGATGGGACCTTGCTGGGATGCATGGGCCACAACTGGGGCAGCCAGGCCAGACTGCTGGTCTCACAATGGCCCTGCCAAATGAGTCAGGGGCCAGGCCTGTGGTTCAAGGCCACCGTTATAGCCTCGTCGAGGACCCTACAGGCTCTTCGTGCAGCTGAAATCCATGTAAGTCTTGACCCCTTGCTGGCCAAGCAGAGCCTCGCTCCACACGTGAGAACTGTGGGAGCCCATCAGCCGGGGGCCCGTGGAGTTGGGTAGAAAGCACTAGAACAGGGGTCAGAGGCCTGGGTTTGAGGGCAAGGCCTGCCAAGCCCTCGCTCCGCACCCTTGGCAGCCGGGCGGGCGTGGGGCTGCAGTGGGCAGCGTCGGGCTGACTCCGCCCTCCTCCGCAGACGGGGCAGTACACTTCCGTCTTCCTGGACAACGCCAGCGGCTCCCCACTCACTGTGCGAAGCGGCTCCCACTTCAGCGCTGTCCTCCTGGGCGTGTGAGGGCCACCCCAGCTAGCCGAGCTGGGGTCCTCAGGATCTCTAGACGGGGCTGGAGTGCCAGAGGCCGCGTGCAGGAGGAAGCCCACTGGAACCGCCCACACTGGCCGGCACAGTTCAGCCCAGAGATGGCCACAACAGCAGCCTGGGGAGGGGACATGCAAACCCGCAGTCCCGGAACCAGGAAGGGCTTCAAGGCCCATCTTTTTTATAGGGGAAGGGCCCTGGTGGGCTGTGAGCCTGGGAACGTGTCTAGCTGGGGTCAGCGCACCCAGGAGCACTTGCTTCTTCCCTGGCTGTGGACCTGGGCCCCTCCTGGCCTCGGGCCGCTTGCCCGCAGCCTCAGCCCCCTGGTTCCCATCTCTGCGTGTTCTTGCGGGCTGCCAGGCGGGCCAGCACGGAGGGAAAAGCAGGTCTGCCTGCTGGGTGCTGGCGCGGAGGGACAGCCTGCGCAGGGCTGAGGAGCCGAGGGGAGCGAGCAGCGGGAGCAGCGTGGCCAGACTGGTCAGCAGCAGCCTTCCCACTGCTCCGTCTCCAGCTGGGGCTCCTTGGTCCCTGCCTGCCACCCCCAACCATGCCTTTGGCCTGCACTGACCAGAGAACCTGAGACTGTCTCTGTGGCTCCTAGGCGCAGCAGCCTTGGACACCAGACAGGGCTCATGGGGGGTGAGTCCAGGCCTGGCTGCCAGGTGTTTGCACTGCTAATGAGCGTGTGTTCGCCTTGCAGACGGCTCTCCGGAACAGGGGCCGCTCTCCCGTCCGCAGGCCTGATCACGAGAAAGGTCCCCTTCCTTCCCCATGGAGGCTCATTGCTCAGATCCACCCACCAGGTGAAAGATCTAGAAACCTTCGCAGACTAGAGGTGGCCAGGCCCTGCCCACCCCACTGACAGCTCCCAAGGCCCGCCCATGGCCTCACTGGGGCCAGCTAGCTCTGGGGCTCTTCAAAGCCTCTTCCCCACTTGGGTGGTGATGTGGCCCACGCTCAGACAGCTGGAGGACGGTGCCGAGAGAGAGCTGGCCTTGGGAAAGCCCAGCACAGTCCACGGTGCTGCTGTAGCAGCGACAGGACCTGGGGGGCGGACGACTGTCCCAGAGTAGGTGGTCCCTCCAGAGCCCCCCAGTGCCGGAGGATTACCCCAACTCCCATCCTTGCACACTGGGCTAACAGGAGACCTGGTTTCACAGGATATTCTGGGGGTCGAGCTGGGTGCATTCAGGCCTGGGGAAGAGGGGGCGATGGCTGCTGTCACCTTAACCTTCTGGCTGGCCCCAGAAACAGCAGGTGACCACAGCTAGACCTGCCTGTTCCCCAGGAGCCCACCCCCCCCACCCCCCCACAGCACACATAAAGCGACCACCCCATGCCCCTTGCCAGGTCCAGCACGATTCTTAGTAGGCCTCGCACCCGCCCTACCAGGAAGTGCCCAGCTGGCCTGGCCCCGCCGCCCCATGCTCCCCGATAAGGGGCGGTGCGGCCACACCCTTTTCTGGATTTCATTTTGTATCCAGTGGACACATTTTAGAAAAGTTATCTTTCACCCTGGAAAAAGCCGCAGATCTCTTTCATTTTCTTGGCATTAGTGTGTTACACAGCAGTTTACTTTAGTATTTATTGTATGATGTTACCAAATAAAATATATTTATATAACTAACTTTATAGTGGTACAAGTACCTAAAAAATTGTGTTGTGTGGTTATACAAAGTTGTGGAGACCTTGAGATACACACTCGTGGCCATTTAGGCCAGGTCTGCTAAGGATGGCGAGGAGTGACCTCTGTGAGGTGGGGGGTTGGCCCCAGCCTGGAGGAGGGGGCTCGGACACTATGAAGAGGGTGGGAGGGCCTTGCCAGGGAAGCCTCAGTGCTGAGCCTCCCAGCTCTGGGACAGTGGCACTCTGGTAATTAAGGACATGTGAGTCACAGGTTGACATCTAGTTTGCTGTGAGAAGGTTTGCTGAATAAACTGTTCGACCTCCCCTTCTGAGATGCTGCGGTTCTTTTCATCACTGATGGCACACTGCACAATGTCACAGTCCTCAGCAGAAACGGAACTTGGCCCTCAGCCGGGGAAGGGTGTGCTCCAAATGCTGAACTGACAGGGTGATAAGCCATTTGCGCGTGCTGGGCGGGGGCCAGAGAACATCACAGAAACGCTTCTTCAAAGGCAAGTTTTTAAAATCTTACATCATCCTGAGGCAAGCACTCATACACAAGAGTCACGGCGATACTGACGACCAGTGTCACGTAGGATTAGGGTTGGGAAGCATCTTAAGGTTCTTCCAGCGACGCGGACCAGGCTTTCCCCTCTCAACATCTCTAACAGCAGGGCCCCTCTGCTCTGGCGTAGTCTTGGGACGAACGACCTCAGCCCAGCACAGAGCCAACCGAACACGTGTTCTCCAAACAGGAAACAGAGGCCACACTGAACAGCAAGCAGCTCGACTGCTCAAAGCGGAGAGGACCCGTTCACGCCGGGACCCCCAGGGGCCAGGACACCAGCACGCCCAGAGCCCCTCGTGCAGGCTGCGCCCAGCACCAGTGGCGTCAGGAAGCACCCGAGTCCTGAGCTGTCGTCGGGGGGGCCTGCGGGGCCCACCACCCCACGGAGGGCCTGAGCTCGCCCATGGAGGGCCTGAGCGCGTGGGCCAGTCTGCTCTCCCAGCTCAGAGGGTACAAAACATATCGTACCCTTATTTCGCACCCCAACCGCCCTGAACTCGGGTCCTAGCTCGTCTCGGCCAGCCACCACCACCACCACCTCCTCACTAGGGGATGCCACTTCCCCATCATCCAGGGCCATCCCGAGGGTGACAGAGCACAGGAGAGGGGCCTGAAACTACAAGACAGTGCGCGGTGAATGGCTTGCGGGTCAGTAACCACGAGCCACTCCAAGTCGCCACGGTGGTTTTAACGAGACCCAGAGCATATTCCAAACCAAACACCTAACCTCTGAAGGGTCGAGGGCTGCTCAAAACGTATTAGTTCAAAAGACTAGAAAAAAAAAAGAACCTTTATTTACAACCACGAGAGTCCCACAGGAGTACGCGAAACACACAGATGTGCACACACACATGACCTTGGCCAATGCCGCACCGGGCCCGGCCTCGCGGCGCCCTCAGGGCCCGATCCGCACCGCCATCACGGTGACGTTGTCGGCCGAGCCCCGCTGCACTGCCTTGCTGGCCAGCCTGTTGCAGGCCGCTTCGTAGCGGACGTCGACAGCGGGCTTCCCTTCCCGGCTCTGGATCTTCTCATCCTACCCGCAAGAAAGGGCTGGTAAACGGGGGGCCCGCACCCCGGCCCTCTCGAGACAGCGTCACTAAGAGGAGCAGCTGCTCGCCGTGCCCAGCAGGGCAGGCAGGACAGACTGACCGGTGTCTCCTGGGCAGAGCGGACGTTGCAAGTACACACAAGGGCTGCCCCACAACAATGGGGGACATGGAGGAGGGACGGGGTGTCCCCGACTCCCAGTTCTCTAAAGCTGCGACAACTGGCACTCCCTATGAGCCTTCTTACCTCGAGGCAAGACAAGATGAAGTTCACAGCTTCCTCTGGGGTAAAGACCTTGAAGAGGCCGTCGCAGGCCAGCAAAATGAACCTACGATGCAGGGAAGAAGCATAAACGGGTTATAACTACGCAAATGCCACGAAACAGCCTGCAATAAAGGCAAGACGAACACTTGTCCAACTACTCAAAGGCTAATAAACGTTTTTAAAAACCGATTTAACTTCTATGACACGAAGGCTAAAACTACCTAAAAACCATGGCAGGCAGCTCGTATGCATCGAGCCCGGGACTGCCCTCTGGTTGCCAGTAACCTGGGTGTGGGTCAATTCCAGCGTCGGCTGCTGCCCTTCCTTAGGCAAACTCAAAAGTCAAGTCGTTGAATGCAAACGCCGAGTGTGACGGTGAATGTACACTGGCTTTCCATCACACCACATCTCGAGCCACCTCCCAAACACGGAGCGAGCGGTTGGGACCTACGGGAATGTCCCTGAATGCCTGTCACCCACAAGAAGGCCACGTGTGAGCCCAGGGCCCAAGGGAGGACGACCGTCCACTTTCTCTGTGTGAATACAGGATTCTTCGCTTTCAAAATCCCCGTCCCCTGGGCACCGACCCCAGGCAAGTCCTCCTCAGCAGCGGTGGCAAGGACAGGTCTGGTTCAAGCTCTCCCGGCACGGGGTACGGGGTTCCCTCGGCCTCAAACTGTTCTTTGCTCACTGTGCTGTGTGGGTCTCAGCTCTCTTCTGACTGGGGGTTCACGCAACAAGTATGTACCCAGCACAAAACCTGTGCTGGGGACCAGCAGGGCACAAGTCTGAGCAGACTCTTGCCCCTTCCGGGGAGGGGACAGACCTTGAGTAACTGATCCCACAAACGGGACTACAACCCAGCGTGGAGGGAGTTGGCACCACACATACTGA